TTAGGAAACCCCAAAAGAGACTGAGTTACACTCCAGTCAACAAGCAGCTAGAGCGCACTTCTTTTGTACGAATTAAAAAAAAAAAAAAAAAAAAACTCACTGCCACGGAGTTGATTCTGACTCATAGCGACCCCCTTTGGGTTTCCAAGGTGGTAAATTTTTACACAAGTAGATGGCCCTGTCTTCCTTTCACGGACTGGCTGGTGGGTTTGAACCATCATCCTCCTGGTTTGCAGTCAAATGCCTTAGGCACCACGCCACCAGAGCTCCTTTAAGTACAAATACAGTTCAGTAAACTGCCCACAGCTTGCCAGGCAGTGCCCGTTAAAAAAACCTATTGGAGTTGATTCCCACTCATAGTGACCCTATAGGACACAGTAGAGCCGCCCATAGAGTTTCCAAGGCTGTAATGTTTACAGGAGCAGACTGGTGGGTTCGAACCAGCAACCTTTTGGTTGGCAACTGAGGGCTTAGCTATTGGACTACCACGGCTCCTTCCAGGCAGTGCCAGGTCCAGGGAATCAGATATGGGAGACATGGGCTGGGCCTTCCTGGTATTACAATTTAGTGGTTCCCAATCCATCACTTAAAAGGAACTCTGGTGGTGCAGTGGTTAAAGCATTCAGCAGCTAACCCAAACATTAGTGGTTTGAATCCACCAACCGCTCCACAGAAGAGATGAAGCTGTCTGCTTCTGCAAAGATTTGCAACCTTGAAAATCCATGTGGGCAGTTCTACCCTGTGCTATAGGCTCACTACACACCAGAATCAACTTGGTGGCAGTGGGTTTAATTCATCAGTTGCCCACAATCATTGTCCAAGGTCAGATTCCAGTGGGCTTTCTCTAGGGGCCTGGCCATCTTGGTTCTGCTGGTTTCTCTCTCTGGGTTCACAGCTCTGCGTTCTCAAGAACTCGAGAATTCGAGAGAGCTATACTCTTGGCAGAGAGGAATCAAAGACCTACAGGAATGCCCACCAAGACGGAAAGGCTGCCTCCAGTGGGCCCACGAGGTGACACAGCAGTGCCAAGCCTTCCTCACTCAGCCCGAGACCTAGGCTGTGTGTCACACTGCTGTCCTACAGAGTGGAGTTCTCATCCCTGACCGAAGTAAGCTGCCAGGAGGCATTGGGGGGGGAGGGGTAGTTCTTGAGGCCCCTCTGGCTAAAGGAGATGTTTTGGGAAGAAAAAGGGACTGAGTCAGACTAGTTCAGGGATGTGGAAGTCTGGGGGCACCATCCAACACCATCCCATGGAGCATTCTGCAATGGTGAAAATATGCTAGAATAGCTGCACTGTCTCAGCCAGCAGTCACTTGTTACATGTCACAGTTGCTAGCCATGTGGCTAGTGCTACTGAGGCACTGAAGTTTAAAGTCTACCTGATTTTAATTAATTTAAATAGTCACATTGGCCAGGGGACCATACTGGACCATATAATATAGGTCTAGGTAGTGATGGTGGGTGGGGTGGGGTGGGTAACCCTGTCCTAAGCTGCCCCACACTGGCTAAACCCACATGCATGCTTTATGTCTGCTGGGAGTCTGGGATGTGGTGGAGGGAGTGGTTGGATGGCGGGTAGGGGTGATGGGAGGGGATGGAGTCTTGTAACCCAGCAGTGACAGGCCATAAATTGCCATTAAACAGCAATGGGCCAGGGATTAGAGGACTTTTCCGGTAGGTAGGGGTCAAGAGCAGGCTTCCTAGACTGAAGTTTCAAAATACTTTCAAGTGGGTGTTGACTTCCTGTAGCGCTAGGCCCACCGTCCAGTGATGGGTAAGTGACAGCTGCCCAGCTTCCTGGACCACAGGGCGTGTTCAGAGACAGAGAGACAGCAGGCCATAGAAAATGGCATCTTATAAGCTTGGAGGAGGACACCACAGTTATGCAAAAGAAGGTGACACCAAGGGTGGGGGGGCAGGCATGCTCACCGACTTTCTCAGAATCACACAGAAGGTACCTGACGAGGCGAGGGGGCCCACAATGCTCATCAAGCACTCTGTGACCTGGCATTGTAGACATTTCATCTGGCTGGTTTGGCCAGCATTGGACTGACTGGTGAGTTTTCCCTGATAGGTTCAGACTGGCAGATGCCAGGTGTCAAAGGGAGACACTTGCATCATGGCTTCAGGGTAGATGTGGTACCAGGGGCAGCGGTGAGGTCAGAAGCCCACAGTGTCCTCCCCTGGGCTTCCCCCCACTTTGTTAGGAATTCTTCAACATTCAGAGAACCTGGGAGAAGAAGCAGTGAACCCCCGTCTACCCACTGCCTATCTGGACAGGTGACCTGTCACCGTATTGGCTTTACCTGAATTTGTGCTGATGCCCTTTCCTGGACCATTCAAAAAGAAGTTGCAAATATCAAAACATTTCATTCCTAAATCTTTGGCATAGATCTCTTAAGAATAGGAGGACTAAGAATAAGAATCTCACCTACGTGACAACACTTCCTTAATATCAGCTCATGTCTAGTCCACATTAAAATTTCCCCAATTACCACTCCTCCCCCAAACTATTGGTTACAGCTATTTCTGCCCTTTCGGAACCAGGATGCAATCCAAATCCCACAATGCCCCTGGTTGTTCCGTCCTCTGTTGTTTTCTGATTGCTCCTGTAGGCCACAGGACGATTCCGACTCACAGCGCCCCTAGAGGTCAGAGCAGAACTGCCCTGTAGGGTTTCTAAGGCTGGAGAGCTTCGCTGAAGTGGACTGCCCCATTTTTCCCCCGTGGAGTGGTTGGTGGGTTTGAACTGCCGATCTTTCGGTTAACAGCCATGCTCTTAACTACTGAGCCACCAACACTCCCCTGTGTTCTGATTACCTGGTGGTAAACAACAAATTCGTTGAAGTTTTTAAATCCTTGTTTCTGAAACACAAGCCTTAGCAATCATTAAGAATCTTTCGTTTGCACGTATACCAGTACTAGGAATCATTCTAGGAACCACAAATGGTGGCCCTGAGCCTTCCCTGTTCTGAAGACCTTGCAAAGTCGGCTGCTGAAATCCTGGAGAGATGTCTGATGTCGTCTGGGATGGCGGGCTCCAGCGTGGCAGTAACTGTGAGGATGGCGCAGGACCGGGCAGTGTTTCGTTCTGTTGCACGTGGGGTCGATAGGGGTCAGAACCGACTCAACAGCACCACAGCACCTAACAGCAACAACTGTCTTCCACACTTGAACTTGAAGGTACTTGAAGCATCAACAGCAGTAATAACTCTAACACAAATTCCTCTCAGAGTGCTTGAGGAAATGAAATGGGTGGAACCAATGGTGGATGGGTAAATTTGAGGGGTGTCAGTGAATTCTACTCAGTTCCATAGTGAGCTGAACCATCTAGAAAGCACGAGTCACCTGGCCCTGGTGGTCTCTAGGACAAACACCAGCGGGGCAGGAGAGCAGACTTCTGGGTCTCCCTGTGTGAACCAGTGCAGTGGGGAGTCCTTGGGCCTGTCACTTCCCTCTCTGTGTCCTAAGATGTGGGGCTCAAATTCTGTGATCTCTTTAGGATTTAACATCTACTTCCTAACCTTAGGAAGGCCAACCTGTGTCATTCAAGACACCTGGACGTCCATTAAACTTCGCCAAAGGACACGATGGCATTTTGTATTCAGACGCTCCTTGTGGATTAGAGAAACTCCTTTTGCAATAACTGTGCTCACTGGTGTGAGACGTGCAACACTACTGGTATTCCCTGGTTGGCCTCCATCCCCCCCTCCTGGGGCTGCGGCTGGCAGGCCTCAGGTGGCACTTCACGGTTCATCTCAGATGGGGCTCGGGGGGGCACTGCTGGGCCCTTCAGTGGGGGAGATATGGAACTTAGCAGTGACCGTGACTTGAGAGGCAAACCAGGCCTATAGTAACAGGTCCCAGACCGACCCAAACTCACTGCCAGAGTGGATTTCCACTCACAGCCACCTCCATTGGGTCTCTAGGGCTGTCAGTCTTTAAGGAAGCAGACTGCCTCATCCATATTGCATAGAGCTGTTGGTGGGTTCAAATCACCAACTTTTGGTTCACAGCTCCTAATGCTCAGGGTGGTGCTAAGGAGCCCTGGTGGCATAGTGGTTAAGCGCTAGGCTGTTAATCGAAAGGCCGGCGAATTGAACCTACCAGCCCCTTCGCTGGAGGAAGGTGGGGGGCAGTCTGTTTCAGTAAAGACTGACAACCTTGGAAACCTTATGAGGCAATTCTCTGTCCTCTAGGGGTGCTATGCATCGGAAGCAACTTGACAGCAATGTGACTGGGTTTTGGGGGAGTTATGGCACTGTAGGTTATTTTTATCATTTTCTTTAATCCTCCCAATAGTCCGACAGGGTCTCCTTGAGTCAGGACTGACTGGAAAGTACCCGATGACAACAATCATAGATGACACTTCTAGGGATTGTACTCCCCACGTGTTGGGCACTGTTCCCTGCTGGACACCCCCTAACTCATTTAACCCTCTCACTATCATTGTGCGACTTAGCAGGACCAGTTACTGTGGAGTCAGTTCCGGTTGATGGTGACCCCTGTGTGTTGGAGCACAGCTGTGCACCACAGAGCTCTCAACGGCTGTGACCTTTCAGAAGGCGATGGCCACGCCTTTTTGGGAAGTGCCACTGGGTGGACTGGATCCTCCAACCTGTCGGTTAGCAGCTGAGCAAGCCTGTTAACGTTCACACCAGCCAGGTTGATCCCCTAGGAGATAGGTGCTGTTCTGGGAAGCAGAGAACTTAAGTAACTTGCCCAAAGTCACACAGCTGCGGAGTGAGGGGAGTCATACCTTGACCGTGGGAACCACAGCCTTGCAGCCCCTCAACTTAAGGAAGCAAGGTGCCCTCACGTGAAAGTGAGGAGACCCTTTCAAAAGGACTTTCTCTCTGGATAAGTCTTGGCTTTGAGATTCAGGCCCGGTTCTGAGTGTAGAATCCTTGGTGAGGCTCAGGGTGTGTGTGTGTGTGTGTGTGTGTGTGTGTGTAGATCACTGATTCTGCTTCTGTTCCATTAAATGCCATAGGTTCCCTGAAAATTAGGGGCTGGCGACTGGGGACCCGGCCCCTCCCCTCATCCTCCGAGTGAATGCTCTGACCACCTTGTTGTTATGTGCCCTCGAGTTGGACCCAACTCATAGTCCTTAGACTATTCCAGACTCTGTGTTTTCAGAGCTTCTCGTATGCTATGGGGGAGCTCTGGTGGCGCAGTGCCTAAGGCACTTGACTGCTAACCAGAAGGCTGGTGGTTCAAACCCACCAGCCACTCCTCGGAAGGAAGGTTAGGCAATCTACTGTAGTGATACCACCTCAGAAACCCATGGAGGGGTCGCTGTGAGTCGTATCAACTCAATGGCAGTGCGTTTGGTTTTGGTTTGTGTGCTATGGATGTGACTGAGACATGAAGCTGAGACGATGAACTGCACTGTTTCGCAGGGAGTTGGGGATCCACCTCGGATGGGCTCATTAGCACTCAAATGTCAGTAGCTTTTGTTCATCTAACTTTTCTATAGGGGAAGGAACAGCCACCAATCAGAAAAGCAAATTATGAAATCTTTAAAGGAGAGAGGCTATAGGGAGCAAAGCTCCCCATCCCCCTTCTTCTTTTCTCCACCCATAACCAATGGGCTAGAAGCACAATTTGTTTCTGGAAACTTCTGGGGACATCAGCGTTCTGGTGTCCTTCCCATTGATGTATCATTACTAGAGTAGAAAAAAAGGGTGTCTCCAGGGCTTTTGAAAATAAAAAAAGGGTGACTGCTCAAGACACTTTGTAAAAGGGGGGCATTGGGAAGAAAAGCGGCCTCGGTGGGGGGTGGAGGGTTATGAATGTGGCCTTGTCTGGCGGTTCTTTCAGCTAAAGCCTGGTGCTGGGTTCCTTGTTCAGTTCAAACTGTCACCTTTAGTTCTTGATGGCTTTCCTGCCCTCGCCCCTGAACCTCAGCAGATTGGGGCTTATTTACCTATTCACACCCGGCCTGGAGACTCATTGATAGGCTTATTAACAGCACCATTCACGGGAGACCATTGACAAAAGGGGTTCCAGCCACTGGAAGAGAGAAGAGAAGACTGTAAAGAGAGTATTTTCTCATTCAGAAGCCTGGCTGCTGTGAAAGCTTTCCGGGCCCCTCTGAGGTCACTTGAAGCCTAAATATGATGACACAATTGATTTGAAGCGGGGAACAAAATTCCAAACATGCTTCCGCTTTTCTGAAAACTGACGTTGTGGGCTTGCAGCTTTGCTCACTTAAAGACGAGCACTCTTCAGGAACTAAGGGCCTTTGGATGGATAGGTGTCTTTTCATCCCTATGCACACTCAATTCTGGAGACGGCATCTGGACATTAAAGTAGGTGTTCTTATTCATCATTTTCAGCGGAAGCCTTCCTTTCCATTCAAAGAACATAAGGCTATTGATGAATGGGGGACAGGGACGAGGGCTCCCTGGACCATTAATTTCTGTGAGAATGTGTTCACAGCATTTTCAGCGACTGATGGATGTGTTACAGGATGCGAAAGGAATCTGTCTGAGACACTTGAGTTTCCCATTGGTGGGGAACACAATAAAGACGCAAGTGCCAACCTCTGGGCAGACAGACAACCAGCCACATTCTTTTGTGACCCCATGTCTGAGAACTTGAAAACTTTCTTTTAGGGACAGAACACTCTAGATGAGAATGGCTGGCTGAGGGGCACCTGACTGAGGTGTTACTTAGTTAAAAGATTCGGGCACTGATGCAGGTTATGAGACTTGACCCAAAACATATCCTTCCCTCTCAGCCACAAACAGTAATGCTGCCTGAGAATCAGACTCTTCCAATTTCCAAATAATGTCACCTTCATCTGTGAAATGGACTTGCACTCCTTCCTGGCTTTTAAGCAATTTACATGAGAGTTTTCTGTGATGTAATGTTAATGAAGATGATTTTCTAATGACGTGGCACCTTGGAAAACTATTTTCATAAATGCTGTGAAGAACGCAATGCTGGGGAACCACGTACCACCACATTCCCAAGTGCAGGAAATGTCGAGTTTCCAGGTCAGTGTTGGAGCCTGTTCCATCTGTCTTTAGGCCTCAAAAGTATTTAAAGGCACATCTTGGTTCTGTGAGCTTTTCAAAAGAGTTAAGGTTTTTATCTCTATTGCTTTGAACTTAAGCAGGTTACTTAGGAGCTGGAGTGTAAGAAGGGAGAGAAAGTGTAAGAAAACAGAAATTATCTTGTAGACACAGCCTAGTGCAAAAGTAAATGGGAAATGTGAACTTAAACACTAATCAGTTAAAAGTCCCTGGTTTTGCAGATCCAGACAGAAGACTTGGTTTTCTAAAGGCTAGAGAGCTATCTGTGGCAGAGTCGAATCTTTCGAATGTTAAAAATGTCTTTATTAACCCAAATTTGTATCACTAAACGATTTTTCTGTTGTTGTTACAGTTTTTCACATTTTCTAAAAGGGCTAGGTTCAAAGTCAGCTCTGCCAGTTACCAGCTGTGTGACACCGAGCAAATTACTTAACCTCTCTGATCCTCAGCTTCCTTTCCAGAAACTGGGAATATTATTCTGCAGGGTGGTTGTACCAATCAAACAGAATAACCTATTCAGAGCGCCTGGCACATCGTGGGTCCTCCATAAATATTAGTTTCTTCTCTCACTTTATTTCGTTTTGAAGGACAGAAAAAAGTTATGCAAAATTTCCAAGTTGTCTCACCTTCTCCAAAAGTTGCGTTTGCATTAAAATTCTCCTCCTAATAGCATGCCCATATGCATTTTCAAGATTTAGAGCCTCGGAAGCCCAGTGGGGGTCGCTATGAGTCCGAATCGATTTGATGGCAGTGAGTTTGGTTTTTTGGGGTTTAGGGGTAGAGAAGTTACTTTACCTCCCAAAGGAAAGGACGGAGGCTGTGGCGCGGGCCGCGAGATCCCGGGGCTTGGTACTGGAGGATATAGTTGCACCCTTCCGTCCAGCTCGCGCCCGGGCCCCTCGCTGCACCGCCGGGGTCTCCGGGCCGCGCTGCGCTCGCGGCGGCCCCGGCGCGCGGCGCTGATTGGCAGAGCGGGCGCCGCCGTCCAGGAAACGGCTCGGGTTTCAGCGGGGGCGTGACCCGCCGGAGGAGGCGGTGGCGGCGCGGGCGGCGGCGGCGGAGAGCGCAGAGCGCCGCAGAGAGCGGAGCGGCGGCGGGTGCGGAGCGAGGAACGCGGAGCGGGCGGCGGCCGCACAAAGCTCGGGGCCGCGGGTCTGCATGCGGCGGACCCGGCCCGGCGCGGCGACTCGTCTCGAGGCCGGCGGGGCCCCGAGGCCGCAGCTCCGGTGCGCGCTGTCCCCGCTCGCAAGTGGCGAGCAAAGTTTGCTGGCGGAGACGCCGAGCCGGAGTCCTTTCTTCCTCTCGCTCCCCGAACCCGAGCGCTGCCGCGGGCGTCATGCCCTCGCTCCTCCGCAGCCCGGGCTGCGCGTGAACCCGGAGGCTCCAGGGACCACGCTCTGCTGGAGTTTTCCCCGAGGAACCACCGAGCGCGGCGCTCGCTGCCTCCGGAGCCGCACGGGCCGCGGGGACAGGACCGATCGCCGAGCTGCGTTGCCATTCAAGGTAATCGCCGAGCAGGGCCGAGCGGGACGCCTCGCCAGCGGCAGCGGGGCGCCGTGGGGGCCTGCGCGCAGCGGCCCCGAGCCCCGGCGGAAGGCGCGGGCGCGCGGGCCCTGAGGAGGGCGTCCCTGTGCTCCCTCTCGCTGCCTGGGTGCTGGGGAAGGGGGTGCTTGCCGCTGGCGGCGGAGAAGCCGCGCGGCCCCCACCCCGGTGCAGATGTTGACATCTGCCTCTTGGCTGACACCCCTCCCTGTCAAAGTCCGCCGGCTCAGTCCCGCGTCCCCCGGACCCCTAAGCGGGCTGCGGGCTGCGAAGGGGGTCCCCGTGGGGCACCTTTGGGGCGCCTCATGCCTGGACCTGGGGAGCGCGCGCCTCTTCCCGTCCAGTCTCTTGTCCGGGAGGGTGCCGCTGGCTTGGCATCTCCGACCTCCCCGTCGCCATCCCCGGAGCGCTGGCGACGCCGATTGGGAGGCACCTTTAGGAAGGGGGCTGCTTCGGCCCCCCGCTTTCGGTGCCCGCGGCCGCCGTCGGCGCCGGAGCCTGGGCGGACCGCGAGAGCTGCAGGGAGCGCGGCGCCCGGGGCTAGGGGGCGGGCTACGCCGACTTTTCCCGGCTCGTCCGCCCTGCAGCCGCGCGCGGGTGTCGAAGGCGCCGGCGAGTTGGGACTTGCGCGCGCCTTCTTCCAGCGGCGGAGTGCGCTGGGGATCCGGCCGCGGGCTCGGCCAGTCGCCCGGCCGACCGAGGCGGGCCGCGGGCCGCGCGCAGACAGCGCTCTGCGGGCAGGAGGCGGCCCGGGCCGCCGAGCAGCCGCGTCCTCCGCAGCCTGCCTGCTCGCCAGCGCTCCGGCAGCCCTTCCTTCTCGCCCAATTCAATAAAACCTACTTTCCCCGGCGGACTAGCTTTCAAAGTCGGGGCACCCATTATGTTTGGTGTGAAACGCTATCAACATTTAAAACTCCATTGTCCCCCAGGTCCCAAATCCCTGTAAATCTTCCCCGGCCGCGACTCATTTTCATCTGAAAAGCCTGTTTAGTTTGAATAGAAAAGCAATCAGGCGCCCCTCTCCCTGGAATGTCAATTAAAATGCAGATTTCTCTGAGCTCTTTAGCAGAAGAATGGGGGAGAAAAACAGGATATTCCAGGCAAAGGGATGAAAGAAAGGCTGCAATGAAACGGGGTGGTGGTGGTACTGGTGAGGGGCACCCTAGAGCCGTTGGCGAGGTCTCCGTGGCCTACCAGCGTTCACAGGGCAGGGACTGGCATCCTGGGTCGGCCTGTATTTGTTCATTTTTGCAATTTCAGGGTGTTGAGGAATTTTTTCCGCAGATTCAACACCTTGGCAGCTCCCTGCCCTACCGTGCTGTGGGGTGTAGGGGGAGCAGTAGAGAGGCTTTGGGCTGGGAGATGGGTGTGTCCCTTGGGGGAGCCGGGCATCCCCAATCTGGAGAGGCAGTGTTGACTTAGCAGATAAGGAGTCTACCCAAGTGCAGAGCACCCAAGTGCTCCGGGTGTGTGACCCGGTAGTGCACAGAGAGACCAGTACTCCTTGAGGCCAGGCCCTGGCATTGGCGGTCCTTCTTGGAGGGTGGGAGTTGGGGGTTGCTGTGGGGAGTTGAGCGCTGGCCTGGCGCTACTCCAGCCAGTTTCAGCCCACTGGCCCCTTTGCCTGTCTTTGGGGCAGGCTTGTGTTGAGGTGAAAACTGACCTGGCGAGCGGGTGGCCGTGAAGACTCATCCATTAGGAGGAGGGTGACAACTCCTCCGCTCGCAGACTGAGAAGAGAGTTCCCTTTCAAGGGGAAAAATAAACACGCCGGGGCTTTCACTGGTGCTCAGGCTCCAGGAAGGATTATGGTATTGTAGGGCAGGAAGCCGGATTGTGGCCGCCAGCGGCATGCTGGGCCTGTGTTCCCAACTCCGAGCTCGGGACCTAATTATCCCGCCTAGGGGGCCGCTCCTTACTTTTGTCCATTCCGGTGCCGAGCTGTGCAGACCTGGCACGGCAGCCGCTGCCTTGCAGGCCTGTGGGGAGGGGGCTTCTGTGAGGCCTGGACCTGGAATTGCGGAAATGCAGCTTTCTCGTGGAAACCTAGGAGCCGAATGAATGGCTTGAGGTTTGGTGGAGGGCGATACCCAGCTTTCCCTGCCCAGAGCTAGGGAAATTCCTAGGAGGGAGGGTCAGGCGGGCGCGGTGCCTGGGGGTGGAGGTGGGCAACCAGGGGTGCAGTCTCTGTTAGGAGCCCAGAGTGTTACCAAGTGTGGGAGAGGCAGCAAGTTCCCATGCGTTCTGGAATTGCTTGGTAAACCGTGCTTGTTTGTCTCCCGCGTCTGCAGAAAGAGATACGGAATTGTATCTGGAGGTGCTTAGCTTTAAGAGGAGAAAAAGTCGGGGAAGAATACTCTTCGGGTGATCTGAAAACAGGCGTGTGCACACTTTTCCTGCTTTTGTGTGAATTGCAGTTTCATGTGTACTTTCTTAGAAAGTACCGTTTTCTGTATTTGTCCTTTGGAAATGGTGCCGGGCCCTTGCTAACCTCACCCATTTGCATCCTCAGTCAAGGCTAAAGGGCGCTGTTTTGATCACATGGTTTGGGGTTCCTCTAACAGTGTGGAAATCCGTTGCCATAACTTGTAATGAGCAGCAAACATCTAGGCATCTGTGCTGTTAGGTGATTTAGGTTCATTTTCGACTTGTAGCGGCTGCGTGTGACAGTGGAACTGCCCAGTCGGGCGTCTTAGGCTGCAGGTCTCAGGTCTTTCTGCCTCGAAGCCGCTGGGTGGGTTCCAGTGACCAGGCTTTCGGTGGTTAGCAGCAGAGCCCTCCGCCGCCTGGCCAGCACAGGTCCTCGTTTAGGCATTTAGAGGTGTTAGGTTAAGGGCTCCCCTCCCTTGTCTTGTGTGTCGCTTCATTTATGTGGGTCACAGAATCTGAAGCCTGACTTGCGTGTGTCCTTCTTTCATGATAGCTTTCATCAAGCTCTGTTCATTTTGACTCTACATTTCGTAATCGAATGAATTTAAAGGTATTTAAAATATCTTAAGCTTTCTTTGAAAATTATCTTTGCCTATAAGATGTTTGGATCACATGCGTGAACACAGTGGTAAGTCGAACACCCCCTTGTAACTTCTGAAATTTTAGCCAATGGTGAGCACATTGAAAGTTATTTGGCCCAATCGCATACCATGCCAATAATTTGCATACTATCCTCATCGTTACTGGTAAACTCTGGCATTGTTCTTCTGGAAACCCCAGCTGGCATCTACTCGGTTCCTTACCCTCCCTCTGTAGGTTGAGGAATCACCTAGACCTCGATTAGACGGAAGGGGATCCAGGCTTGTACCCCCATTTTGGCTCAGTTGATGTGTTTGTAGTATGGTTCTGTTGTTCTGAGTGGCTGGGGAAAGGTTGAAATACAGTTCTGCATTTGAAAATGAGTCCTGACGTGGGTAAGCCGGTGGCAGTTGTCCATAGCCCTCCCGGATGGCTTTTCCTTTGCTAGCCTTCTTTCTGTCTGGGAACTCTAGGGAGAGTGGACAGACCTCTCCCCTGCAGCCCAACAGCAGTATGGGGCTGTAAGCAGACGCCTGCCTGGGCCAGCTTTCTAAGCCCAGTTGAACTAAGAGAAGTGAGTGAGGCTGGCAATGCCAACTGGAGCATTTGAACTTGCTTTTATAGTTGCCCTTGGAACTGAGGTCGTGTTACTTCAGCTTTGGGGGCGGTGGAGGTGGGAGCTGATAGTTGGAGAGCATGGGCACTTTGCCTGACTGAAGTGGTCACCGGGAGCAGTGCTTGTCGCCACCTGGTTATCTGTGTTTCTTAAAAGGCTGCTTTTGGAGAGAGTAGCGAGCACATTTTGGGAACCGTCTTGTGGAAACCTCTGGGAGCCCGAGGTGAGGCTGCAAGGCATTTGCAGATGATGGAAAATAATTCTGTTTTCACATAGTTGAGAAGCTGAACGGCGGCTCTGTCCCGCTTGGGCTTGAGTGGATTGGCACCGGGAAGGTTTCACTGACTCGCTGAACCTCTTTTCTCCAGTGGCGGCCGTAACAGCGGGGGCTGCGGCAGCACCTGGTTCCTGAGCCCACCGCGGGCTGAAGGCGTTGCAGGCGGTCCATGCCCGAAGCAGAAGTGTGCAGATGGGATTAACGTCCACATGGAGATATGGAAGAGGACCGGGCATTGGCACTGTAACCATGGTCAGCTGGGGTCGCTTCATCTGCCTGGTCGTGGTCACCATGGCAACCTTGTCCCTGGCCCGGCCCTCATTCAATTTAGTTGAGGATACCACATCAGAGCCGGAAGGTATGTGCTTATTTCATTTCACTGTCTGGGGACCGAGTTTGTTTTGGGGCTCATCTGTGGAGGTGGCATGTTTTAGAAGCAGTTGCCCTTGTCTTGTCAGTGAGTCTGCGTAGAGCAGTTCAGAGTGGTCAGCGTGTCCCTCCCAAGTCCTCGGCTCCAAGAGAAGGTTCCTTGCTGCAGTGTAGGCGGGCTGGTGTGTAGGGGTGTGTGTCTGCTGGATGCGGGAGCCAGCGGCAGTGCAGGGAGAGCTGGGGAAGGGCCTCCCGCTACTGGGCCAGTGCCATTTCTAGCCTGCGAAGCGCGCCTGCAGGAGGGAGGTGCTGGCTTACAAAGCAAAGAGTTGCAGTTTTCCGACAAAAGGAACCATTAAGGGAATTCACCATCCTCTGAAATGCTGACATTTTATTTTCATTGTCTAAGGAGAAAAAGGAGCTGCTGAAGTCCAGCATGGAGATGCTTGACACAGCCCATTTTCTTGGTATTATTTTTGCCATAGTCATTCATCATACTTAAGCAACGTGTCTGTCATAGAGCCTCCAATTCAATTTTAGTAAATTCGAATGTGGATTTGCCAGGGGCTCTCCCCCATCTGTGGGGGCTTTCCAGGTGAACTGGCCAGGCGTTGAGGTCTCAGCTTCGGAAACATAAAGGCTTCAGGCTGGGAGTGGGGATGGCAGAGGCTGTGTGGTTCAGCGGGGCGGATTTGAGACCTCTCTCCCTGGTCCTTCGGAGACAGCATTAGCCACTTGGTGCAGCACTGAGATCTGTCATCAGCAGGGAATATTGGGAGCTGAGTTATTTTTTGAGTGGTAATCTGAGAATCACGCGGCAGATCCCAGCACTCATCGCCACTTAATGAACCTGTTTGTTGAGAGCCCACCTGGTGCCTGTTGGCTTGGGGAACCCAGCGCAGAACTGAGTGGTGTAGGGTCAGCCCGGCTGTTCTGGGGAAGTTCGTCCCGAGGGGTGTGGGCTGCCGGAGGACAAAGCCCAGGCATCAGGATGGGACGGGGTGAGAAGGAGTGCTGTGTGTCCCCATCCTCGGTCCTAGCTGAGGGCTCCACGAGATGAGACCCTCAAGGGCAGAAGCACGTCTTGGCCTGGTGGACCGTCGTCACCCGAACTGTTCGACGGGTGGACTGTTTGTTGCATGGAGGCTTTGTGATGACCAGGTGTGGCAGCATCCCCTGGCTTCCAGGTCTCTGGGGAGGGAGCCTGGTTGGAGTGAGTGTCTGCGGCTTCAAGAGCTGTCTCCCTGTGGCTTGTGCTGTGACACGGGATGCGTGCAATTAGCAGTGATGATGCGTTTTTAAAGGGTTTAATGGGGGAGAAAAGGTTCCCGGTTTGTGAAAGTCAGGCCTGCACTTTTTAATTTTACTAATAATTAAAATAGATGTTTCCCTAATTGCTGGTTTTCCCCTGAGCACCTGGCTCAGCACAAACGTGGGAAGCTGAGCTGGGATTTCTTCTGTTCTGGACCTGGGAGCGGCCCAGGTTGGGAAAAACTGTCATTATCCATTTGCATGTCCAGGGCAGCGTTATTGTGAGTTTATTTCAACGTAAAGTGTAAAATGGCCCTGGGGGATTTCTTTGACCGTATTTAATTACTGGAGAAAGTTTCTAATATGCGCAGGAAAGGGGGTGTCGGGCAGAGGGAAAACATGGCCAAAAGGGCCAAAGTCTCCTGAAGGGATATTTGTGTAGAAATCTGTAGCCAGCGATGTGACTGTTGTTAAAGCAGCAGCTCCTCCCAGCCTTGGGGTCTGTGGATGCGCTTGGGGTGGAGAGGGGGTGCTCTGTGAATTCTCCACATTTGGAGGTAATGGTCTGTGAATGTTGTACACTTTTCTGGGGCTCTCGCTTCCATGAGATTTATGCCCAGGGCTGTGAGACCTTAAAAAAGTTTAGAGGATGGAGCAAAACACTGTAAAGAATTGTATGCTGTGGGACAGATATAAGCCCCGGGCCTCAGTTTCCCTTTCTGTCATCTGAAGGTTTGATAAGGGTCTCTTCCAGCATATACCTGGCACGAACCCCCAGAAATATCCTCAGAAGCGTTCTGACAACCTACTTCAAAGGGTTGATGGAAAAAAACCTAAACCCACTGCCACTGAGTCCATTACAACTCATAGGAACCCTGTAGGACAGAGTAGGCCTGCCCTATAGGGTTTCCAAAGCTGTAAATCTTTACGGAAGCAGACTGCCACATCTTTCTCCCATGGAGTGGCTGGTGGGTTTGCACTGCCAATCTTTTGGTTAGCTGCCGAATGCTTTAACTACTGTGCCGCCAGAGCTCCTTACAAAGGGTTCGTTGCAGATTTCAGTCAGACCCAGACATACAAAGCAGTTAGCACGTGGCCTGGCATCTGATAAGTGCCCAGTACATGTTATTTTCATCATTGTTCCCCAGCTGGCTGGGATATGGGCTGTCCCAGTTTGGGAGGCTGGTCCTGCCGGTTGCCATGATGTCAAGAAACATGTATGCTTTTGGAGACAAGTTGAGAGGACAGGCTTAAGGAGGCCCTGTGTATTCCCAGGCCCTGTGTGTTTGCTCTGTGCAGGGTCTGTACCCCCCGTAGCATCACTTCCGTCCAGTACTAGCCCCAAGACGAGTTCTTCTGTTCTAGCACGAGGTTAGTAGGAAGGTGATCTAATTATAGATGAGAAAGGACTTCATAGCTGCATGCCAGCTAACTAGGGCAGCTCCAGGGTAGGTCCTGGCCTGACGAGTTGGTGTGTGTGTGCGTGCGTCCTCCTTAGTTAATGGAACTACAGCCTTGGTTAACAGTAAGTTCAACCTTAATCTTTTAAGGCCTCCTCTTGTAAGACTTTGTGGTTTGCTGTTTTGGGAGTTTAGCTTCAATGGTGTTTATTGGGCTGCACCAGACGACAATGTGTCTGGAGAAATACGTGCCTAAGAGGCTCCAGGGAAGACCCTGGACCCTGCCACTGAAATGGCCCTTCCATGGGAAGCTTCTGCCCTGTCTTCTGTCTTGTCCATGGTCCAATCAGATCATTCCTCTTCCGGACACTTTCTCAAGTAGAAACACCTACTCTGTTGGGTTTATTCAGCTGACTTAAGAAAACAAGGTCGATGAAAAAGCTTTCAGTTGCAAATGTTCCAGATGAAAAATGAATATTTCCAATTTCATTTGTTGCTTTAGGGGCCCAGCTGAACAGTGTAAGAACAGTTATTGACTGGGGAGGCACTGTTGTGCTGATTAATATGCTAATGATTTCAAGCATAGTCAAGCTTGACTCTTTCAAGTTTTCTTGACATTGTCACCTACTCTGGTTAATTAAGTCATTGTTGACATTAATGACATCTTTGTTTACACCAGCCCAGTAGGCTAAAATAAAAGGGCTTTTCCAACCTCCAACCCTTCATTACTCTCCCACCCTCTGAGACCCAGAGCATCACAGAGCAGCAACCCAGGGACATAGTACCCTGCATGTTCTTGGCCACCTCCTGGGAGGAGATTCTGCCCTGGAGCAATGTGAGTTGGTCCGCATAGCAGAGTGAGTGAGGGATTGGCCTGGAGTCTGATATTTCCAGAATGGCCTAAAGTGCTTTGTTAGAAGTTTTGAAAATGCCATAATATCAGCCATACGTATTTAATTGCAAGTTAAAAGGGGAAATAAAAGAAAAAGAATATGTCCACATACCAAGAGTGAATGGTTTAAAATAATCTTCTGTTTTGTATTATCTGTATCTTTGTTCCTCAATATGAGTGTTAATATTTAAGAGTTGACTGTAACTTGATAGTTAGCTTAGGAACAAGGACTTATTCTTGGTCAATTAAACCAAATGCAGGCTTATGCAGTTAAATACACAATGAAGGACACATTCTTCATTAGTATATAAACTATTTCACAATTCATAGACAAAGAGCCGTGTTTAATAGCCCAGATAATTGGTATTTGTGTAATTTCTAGGCTGGCTCTCTCTGAGGGGATTTTCTTTTTTTGGGGGGAGGGGGCGTGTTTTAACCAATTAAAACTTTGAGCACCTACTATGCAGAAAAGCCCCCTAGTCAAGATTAAAGAAAACTCCCAAGTCTTTCCAGCCCAGTTGAGGGTGAGAATTCAGAGAACCAGGGCGATCTAATATGAGATGTTTCCAGTGTCAGACTTAATGAATAATTGCATGCTGTGAAATAACCGGGGTAGCGTTTAAACAGAATGAGTTTTGTGTGAGGCTCCCATTCTCGGTAAAGTGCCTGCAGTAGCCTCCAGCTTGAAGACTTGTTTGTTTGGGTGTTTACTTAGGGTGATTGGGAAAAGGCTCCCCGCCCCCTTTAATCAGAGCCTAGCTTCATTCCACATTTCCATCGAGGACTCTCATTGTGGGAAAGTGAAGTTTGGGAGGCAGCAACATCCAGCTAGGTAGGAACTCCAGTTGGTGGACTGCTTACCATCTCTGTCTTTGCTTGACCTTCCTTGGTAGGCAAGTCACACATTATTTGTTGTTTGGAAAGTTCTTCAGCCTCTGCCACAAATGATTCAGATCCAGTGGGTTTCCTGGGGGTTCTGCAGAAGTATCCACAGTCTCTTTGGTTTGGTTTGGTTTCCCTGGAGGGATGACTTTATCCTTTTGCTGTATCCCAGACGAGGTGAAGAGATGGCCTTGCCTTCCTCAGCGTAGTGCACACCCTGACGGCCTCTTCTCCCCGGCTGGCCTTCTCTGGCTGGCTCCTGACACTGACGCTCTTGCAGGCTGTCGGGACTGACTGGCGAGCCAGGTGCCAGGGTTGGGGGTTTGGTCTTCGCTGAAGATCTGGGTTTCTGAGCAGTTAGGCTTGGGAGTCATTATGCCCACGACGATTGTCAGGAGCCAGCTTCTCAGAACGCAGATCTGGCTTGTGGTGGTGTTGGCTGCTGTCAGCTTGGCCCCCGCTTCATGGTGACCCCGTGCTTGGAGAGCTTCATGGTGACCCTGTGCTTGGAGAGCCAGCTGCTGCCTGGTGGAGCACCAGCCCCGTCCTTGATTATGACCGGAC